ATTTACAAAAAGTTATGTTGTTACCCGACATGCCTAAAGTCAAAGAATCCTTTTTTTTGAGTAGAATGATAACTTTTAACTTGACATTTGCACCAATCAGAAAGAAAACTAATGTTAATAGTATTTGTGTTCTATGGCATGAAGCCTATTCTGGACGAGATGCTAATGACATTGTTAATGCAATTGCAGTGATGATCGAAAAAGAAAGAGATCTTAATCATTTGATATTGTGGTGTGATAATTGCACAGCTCAAAATAAAAATTGGATCCTCTTTACATCACTTGTTACTATAATAAACTCTGGGTTTTGCAATTTAGAAAGTTTGACTTTGAAATACCTAACTAAAGGTCACACTCATATGTCTGCTGATGGAGTTCATGGCAATATAGAGAGACAGATTAAAAAAAAAGATGCTGTGTACGATTTTGATGACTATAAGAATGTGATTTTGAGCTGCAGATCGAATATTGAAGTTATCGAAGTCCAAAAATCGTATGAGTGGGTAAAAAAGAAACGCATACCGCGACGCAATGATGACCTTGATCCCATGAATAATTTTTTGCTTAGCTCTTTGATTGAAGTAAAATTTGTAAATGGGTGCCGCAATATGTTTTATAAGAATGATTTTGAATCTCCGTATTCCGAATTGGATTTTCTTATTAAAAAACACAATCCCTTGACCATGCCAACCTTAAAAAATATTCCAAGAGGCATTAAAGAAAGTAAAAAGGAACGCATAGTAACAACTTTGTTACAGCTTATGCCAATGAACAGAAGAGAGTTTTGGCAAAGTTTACCGATTAATAATAATTCAGTTGATTTAGTTTCTGGTGGACAATTATTAATAAATGAATAATTTACTTTTATTTGACTGTTTTCAAATATTTTGAGTGATTATTTTTTATTTTTTACTGTAAACAATAATTTTGTTTGCTTTTCGATTATATGTTTTTTTATCTTTTTCATTAAAACTGCTTATTCCTGCCTATATTTATGTTGTTTTATTCTATTGTTTCTCACTAGGTTTATAAAATTGCATTTAGTTCCTACTTAGTAAATTCAGATCTAAATGAAAACAAAGCAAATTATCTTACTAGGTCTATTAATTTGCGTTTATCCGCACTCTGTATATTTTAGAACTAGATGAAAACAAAGTAAGTGATCTTACTAGGTTTTGAAATTGTCACACTCAAAAAGTTTGGTCTAATAAAACAATGTTTTTATTAGTAACTGCTCCTCTACGTACATCTTTTGTGATAGACGCATTAAAACTACTTTTTTATAAAGCCTGTTATGTACCTCAAATTTTGCAATAACTCTCAAGAAGGTACGACTAATATTATTGAAACGGCACGCTGTCAAAGATATGAAATTGTTTTTCGGCTCTCCTGTAAAATTTAGTTTCATGCAGATACTGGGTTTTGTTATTTCACAGCCGAGCTGGCTAGGTCGAAACAAATTTTTGCGCTCATCATATTTTATGTCATTCGATAGAGCTTGAAGTCGTCGTGGCCTAACGGATAAGACGTCCGGTGCATTCGTGTTGAGCGATGCACCGATGTTCGAATCTCAGGCGGGTACCAATTTTTCTAATGAAATACGTACTCAACAAATGTTCACGATTGACTTCCACGGTGAAGGAATAACATCGTGTAATAAAAATGAAACCCGCAAAATTATAATTTGCGTAATTACTGGTGGTAGGACCTCCTGTGAGTCCGTGCGAGTGGGTACCACCGCCCTGCTTATTTCTGCCGTGAAGCAGTAATGCGTTTCGGTTTGAAGGGTCCATTTACGGATACCCGGTCGAGGGGGCTTTTTTAAGAGACCGGGTTATGTCGGACTCCGGCGCCTCCAGAGAAGAACAGGGAGAAGAAGAAGACAGGGGTCCTCCTCTTCTCCCAATTCCTGCCGGGAGACTACGCCTTGAGAAAGGCGCGCGAGACACTGCACGGCAGGTCCGAGAAGTTGGGGCCTCGCCGCAAGGCGAGTGTTTTCAAGACCCGGGGCCGCCCCACCTGGGCACTCAGCGATCATGGACGCTGTATTCGCGGAATTCCTCCGACTTCGCCACCCACAGCTCGCCTCAGAGTTTCTGGCCTTCAAGGCCGATCACACCGCGAGCCCTCTCGTGGACTACGCCGAGCTCGCTGCTCCTGCGTCGCCTGTACCTGCGTGCAAAGCTTCTGCATCGAGCACCGCAGCCTCCGTCGTGCCTGCCGTTCCCGCGTCGCCTATACTGGCGAGTAAAACTGCTGCGTCGTCCGCCGTGGCCACCGTTCCAGCAGCGCGATCATCCGCAGCCTCCGTCGTGCCCTCCAAAACACCTGCTCGTAGGTCACCTGCGCCCGCCTCCTCGTCCTCCGACTCTGACTCGGAGATGGAGGTCGACCTCGCTCCCGCCTCATCGACGGATGGATTCACCCTGGTACAAAAGGGTAAGAAGCGTGCCGCGGAGTCTCGAGCTCCCGCGGCCGCTAAAATTAGCAAAGCCGCGAACGCGTCGCGCCCCCGCCCTCAGACTCCCGTTGCGCCTCCAGCCCGTGCCACTCCGTCGCCGCGTCCGGTGGCACAAAATAAAACCCAGACCCCTCCCCCGGTAATCCTCCAAGAGAAGGCAGCTTGGGATCGAGTTTCCCTGGCCCTTAAGGCCAAAAATATCAACTTCACGAATGCCCGTAACCTCGCGAACGGCATTCAAATTAAGGTTCGAACACCCGACGACCATAGGGCCCTCTCTTCTTACCTCCGTAAGGAGCGTATAAGTTTCCACACGTATACGCTCCAGGAGGAGCGCGAACTCCGTGCCGTCATACGTGGCATCCCTAAAGAGTTGGATGCCGAGCTAGTCAAGGCCGACCTTCTCGAACAAGGCCTACCGGTTAACTCCGTACACCGCATGCACACAGGTCGCGGAAGGGAGCCATATAACATGGTTCTCGTCGCCCTCCAGCCTACCCCCGAGGGTAAGCAAATATTCAACATCCGAACGGTCTGTAGCCTTTCCGGAATCGCCGTCGAAACCCCACACAAGAAAGGCACACCTAGCCAGTGCCATAACTGCCAATTATACGGGCNCCACACAGTGCTGCAGTAATCAAGTTTGCTTCTAACATAACTGTTGTAAAGCATTAGCGTAGTGGAAACCTTCTTAAACTCCCTACCATTCCTAAGTACAAAACCCAGTGATTTGTTCGCGGCATCTATAATTTTGTCAATGTGCTTAGTGAAATTCAGCTTGGTATCAAGCTCCACCCCTAAATCACGAGTCTGAGAAACTTCACTCAAGCATTCCCCTGAAATATGATATTGTGTTGGTATTATATTGCGTTTTAATGTAAATTTTATATGTAGACATTTCGAAATATTCAAATACATTTTATTAATTTGGCACCAATCAACCAATTTATCAATATCTCTCTGTAATAGTTCAGCATTATTCACATCATTTATAACACGCATTATTTTAAGATCGTCAGCAAATAGGTAACAGGTAGAATATTTAAAAAGATTAATTAAGTTATGAGTTTATGGTGATTTATCATTATAAATTTTATTTCATTATTAGTTTTTTGGTCTGGTGATAACCACGTCCATCTGCGGCTCTTCTTCTTTTTTAAGAATGAGTTCATTATTGACAGTTTGTGTTGATAAGCATAACTTAAGAGACGTTTACCTCTTTCATTACTCACTCCGTAACCATATTTTCCCATTACTGGATAGTAGTTTGTTTTCGGGCAACCTATTTTCGCATTGAAATCTCCCATGACTATGACCTTTCCTTCCGTCTTGGTGTGAGCATATTCAATGTTTCCGTAAAATTTTTCAATTTCTTCTTCTGTTAATCTCTCTGTCGGCGAGTACGCTTGGATTATTTAAATTCAAATTCAAAATCATTTATTTCAACTTAGATGTCAGTATAACATACTTGTTGAATGTCAATATATATTGATAAGGGGAGGCCAGGGGAGGCTTTCAAATTTTATTTGTAAAAGTGCTACTCTTTCTGAGATTCCTATAAAGTTGGTGATGTTGTTTTTATATTTTTTCTTGATTAGAAATCCTACTCCATGTAGTCCTTTAGTTTCGCCAATGTAGCAAAAGATAAGGTCGCTGTACTCTTCGATTTTACATCCCATTTTTCGAATTTCTGCGAGGCCTAGAATGTCCCAATTAATATTTTTTAGAGCATTCGTTAATTCTAGGAATCGTTCTGTTGATGAAAGTGTTCTTACATTATAAGTGCAGATTTTGAGGGTTTGTTTTACGTTTTGGTCTGTTTCTGTATTTGGCTCTACATTACTTACTACTTACATGTAGTATGTAATGTGAGTCGGATGATGAACATAATTTCAATGTTTTTCAACACGTGTCACGGTGGTGTCCGATAAGCGGGCTGTCAAATGAAGATTTAAGAGTAAAGATTGCATATTTTGTGTGGAAAATACAAAACTATTGAAGAGATAAAAAGAGACTGATCTGTTGTAATTCAGTGACCCTGTAATACTAAGGTAACAATAATAATAATGCTACTTTGCTGCTAAGAATGCTACCTAAATCAAAAATCTTGAATTCAAATTTTAACCATCGATTTAGGAAACAAGAAATACGTTAAAAAATTGTTTGTGTATTTTATTGTCGTTGAAGGCGAAGCTTAGGCGGTCAGATCCTAAGTGACCTCCCCGGCCCAAGGACATCTGCTGCTAAGACTTGTGAACGGTTGGTTAGTTCTTTTCGTCGTCTATTTTATGCACATATGAGAACGGTCAGTTCGTTCCTTGTCGTCTGGTTCGTGTCCCGTTTCTTAGGATGTCATAAAGTGTACTGCCTGCCGCTAGTCACGTGCGCCCTCGTTCCATTTCTCTCTTTATTTTTAAATTCTTGTCAAGTGTCTGTCTTAATCTGTGTCCAGTCGTTGTAAGTCTCATGTCCTGTCAAAGACGTTGCACGCCACGACAACTTATAAAGGGGTTTTATGACGAGAGGTTCACGTTCTCAGGTGTGCGGGCTGCGCGGCAAGGAGCCCATCGTGTGCTGCACCGACTGTGACCTCGTGGACAACATCGAGTGAGTTGTGCCCCTGTAAATCCAGCTCGTCTGAATCAGTCATTACCATATCCATTACAGATTCAATTTTCTTTTTTTTTCAGAAATATATACCTCTCGCGCCAACATTCACGACTCGAAAAAACGAACGAGAAGTCTTGGGACGGTATAAACGCTTTCTGTATTCATTGTTTTCCCTTGTTATCTTCACTTGCTACGAACTAATTGTGGAAAAGTCAATTTGTATACCCGGTGGCCGTGAGAGCATTAGCCCGTATAGCACAAAACACAAACTTATACCCATTTTCCTTCTTTTTCCTAAACCCTAACATATGGCTATCTCCAAGCGAAGTAGAACGGGAGTCCTCAGCGGGGTGGGTAGCATTTTAGGCGCCTTGCAAGTTGACGTGCAAGAGTGGCGGTGACCACTCGCTATCAGGCGGACCGCATGCCGCAAGTGCTACACGGCTCCCGTTGCCCGCAGACATTCACCCTGACTACTACAACAGCAGAAGAATTCACTGTACAGCACACCCAAATGTAGATTTATCTTGTCATTACATTTCTACATATAGCTATGCGGATGATGGATGACATGGTGGAAGCGTAGTACCGGTCATAAGAGTTCTCACGCAGCTTGGCTCACCATCGAAAATTCATACTTTAATATCACATATGCGAATTTATCGGTCCGTTGCGCTTTCACGCCAAAACTACTGAATCAATTTAAATGACATTTCGTATACAAATAGTCTAGAGCCTGAGAAAGGCTTTTACTTTTTAATGCGAAAAAGGATGCAAAGGGTTGAAAGGGCGGGACGAAAAGTTACATGGAAGTATCGTCATTTTTTGGAATAAAAGCTTGAAACTTATTGCTTAAGTTTGTTGTAAAAAGTTATGCCAATTTAAAGAATCACGTAGTTGGGCGTTTGTAGATTGTTTACGTCTGTGCGCCGCGCTGCAGCCTCGGTCACCGTCCTCGCCAAACCCGTCGCTTGCGACGAAGGGCTCGACGAGTAAATTAACTAAAGTAACGAGTAAAATAACAGACACAGCCCACTGAGTATCTCGCCGGATCTTCTCAGTGGGCCGCGTTCCGATCCCGTAGTAGATTCTGCGAAGCACTGCTCTTGCTAGAGCCAGTGTTAGCAACGCTCCAGTTTGAGCCCCGTAAACTCACTTACACGTTAAGGAGAAGCTGAAATAGCGTCTCAAGGCTCTCAGAATAGGGAGGGGAAAAAAAGCGCTGCTGCCTACAGCATTCAATTATTCGCAGCGCACGCACGTATTCCGGAGGCGGTGGCGTATTAGTAGCATTCGATAACACTGACTGTTTGCATATTTTATATGTTTGTACTTTAGGATTTATAGGGCTTGTAAATACATATTGTGTGTATTTAGTATAGTTAGGCATTTATTTTCTTGATTTTCTTTATTTCTTAATTTTATGTGTAAAAATCTGAAAGTTATACAATTTAGTCGTATGTGATAAGAACATATTTGTTTAGGGTTTAGAGGGTTTGTAAATACATATAGTATGTATATTTTGTATAAGTTAGTTTGATTTCAAGTTCTTGATTTTTTTATAAACCTTATAATTTACCTATTTAATTTAAAATATTTCTCAATTTTTAGGTTTAAAAAAAAATTAGTAATTTCTGATTAATACATATTTGTTAGTTTAGGTCAGTGATATATATAAGATAGGTTATTTTTCTTGACTTGCTTTGATTAGTTAGGTATTTTTTTTATTTTTTTCTAAATATCAGGAAATACTTACAGTTAGATCTTTGGAAAAAGTACATTTTTGTTAGCTCAGATTAGTATCTATTACACATTTCGTTTGTTTTCTATAGTCAAAAGATTAGGTTGACACATCTTAATAGTTATTAAGCTGTAATAAAGTTAAACTGTGTAATAATCTGTAAGTATTTATAATTTAGTTTTATGGCAAGTATGTGTTTATCAAACAACGTTGTGTTAGTAGGTACTACTTATTGTAAGAATGCCTCGAAGGGGATCCAACCTCTCCCAGTGCAGCAGGAATGCTAAAAGGATGAGATTAGTCCGATCACAAGAATCTGAAGAAAATCATGAGGCAAGACTCACTGCGTGTCAGGAACGTCAGGCCAGGCTTCGTGCTACAGAAACTTCGGCTCAGCGAGTATCTCGATTGACATCGTTCACATCGTTCTCGAATGATGGCCACCGAATTAGTGAGAGCAGGGAACAGCGTGAGGCACGTTTGTCCATCGATCGTGAATCTCATACTTTAGACTCATACTCTCAGACTTTCACTGATAGGGAATCCCGTCTGAGCTCTGAGAGGGCTCGGACAGCAAATGCCCGGTCTCAGGAGACACTTGAAGAACCGGAAGCACAGCTCACTGCCGATCGCGTTTCCAGTGACTCTGTGTTTCGCGATGATAATAAATAAAGCCCAAGGTCAGACGCTAAGAGTTGTGGATGTAGATCTAAGCGTTAACTGGTTTTCACACGGTCAGCTTTATGTAGCTCTGTCGCGTGTTAGCAATCTTAGCAACCTGTATGCTTTGATCCCAGATGGCTATACGTCTAATGTCATGTATAGAGAAGCATTACTTTAAATTAGATTTTTCTAATTACCCAAGTGACGGTGTTTATACACCAACAGATATGTTTTTTTTTTATTGCTTAGATTGGTGGACGAGCTCACAGCCCACCTGGTGTTAAGTGGTTACTGGAGCCCATAGACATCTACAACGTAAATGCGCCACCCACCTTGAGAGGCTGTTTCGAGGTCAGCCATGGACAGACTGAAGAAAATATGGGGGAATCGAAATATCACTAAAGCCACTAAAATCAGACTTGTAAGAGCGCTGGTCTTCCCCATTTTTCTTTATGCTGCTGAGACCTGGACATTGAGAGAAAGTGAGAAAAAGAGGATAGATGCTCTCGAAATGTGGTGCTGGAGAAGAATGCTGCAAATATCGTGGACAGAGTTCAGAACGAATCAGTCAATTCTACAGGAACTCGGCATCAAGCAGCGACTATCCTCCATCGTTCAGGGTCGCATTCTCACTTTCTTCGGGCATGTGTCGCGGCGAGGTGACGACTCAGTTGAGCGCCTTGTGGTGCAGGGCATGATAGAGGGTACAAGACCGCGCGGCAGATCACCGTTACGATGGACCGACCAAATAAAGGCAGCTCTAAACGGTCCCGTTAACGAGTGCACAAGAAGGGCCGCGGTACACGAGGAATGGCGACGTCTGGTGAAGCGCACCACCAACCCAAGTGATGACCACGACCACTCTGCCAAGAGTGCATGCGACTGAGAAGAAGAACCTTGAGATATAAATTCTAAGGTCTCAGTATAGTTACAACGGTTACCCCACCCTTCAAACCGAAACGCATTACTGCTTCACGGCAGGAATAGGCAGGGCGGTGGTACCTATCCGTGCGGACTCACAAGAGGTCCTACCACCAGTGATTACGCAAATTATAATTTTGCGGGTTTTTGATTTTTATTACACGATGTTATTCCTTCACCGTGGAAGTCAATCGTGAACATTTGTTGAGTACGTATTTCATTAGAAAAATTGGTACCCGCCTGCGGGATTCGAACACCGGTACATCGCAACAACGAATGCACCGGACGACTTATCCTTTAGGCCACGACGACTTTGTCTCAAAAGATTTGAAAGCCTTTTTTTTAAAAACTGTTGGAAATTTATACCCCTCAAACTCTGTGAAAAAAACAAGTTTTATTGCAATTAGTGAAGTGACATTTGTTTTGCATGCTTAAGTCTATGTTGAAGAAGCCATACCTATTAATGCAGGTACGTACATTAATTTGTTTTGTGTTTATTCAGATAACATGATTTGAAAAAAATATTACTAATTACATTATTTTTGGGGTCACCAGGGACAGCAATATGTGTAAAAAGAACCGGAGCATGGGGTGACTCGGGATGAATATGTGGGATATTTCGAAGTTTTTTAATCTTATTTACTTACCTATTACCTACCTATCAAAAATAGTGAATTTTCAGAAGGTAGGTTGGCAATGTATAAATTGGCTTGAGAATTGCCTGAGAATATGTTTTAGTGACAAATGGTGTTTGATAATGTAAATAATATACATACTAGTATTTGTTTCAGTATGCCTCGCAATTATAAAAATATTCGAAACAAAACATAAAAAATACGATGAGAATATTATTACAACTGCTCTTCGAGCATATGAAACCACAGAAATGTCATTTGTAAGCGTAGCGAAATAATGCATTAATCCAAAATCTGTTCTACAGAGACACTATACTCAAGTTATGAAGAAACCGGGTGGGTAAACAGTTTTGAGTTGAGTCGAGACGTAGAAGAATATATTATTGAATATTTGAATGTTTGTTCTGAATGGGGCTATCGCCTGACACTTACGACTGAGGCTTTTAGTAAAAGGATTTTTAGATAGATCAGACATAAAGATTAAGAGATTCACAAATAATATGCCAGACCCTGACTTTGTTGCTGGCTTTTTAAGAAGACTTTACGATAAAATTTCTGTAAGAATAAGAATAAATAATAATGCCTACAGACGTCTCTTATTTACGTCCCTACCTATCTACTCCATTATATTTTTTGTCTTTTGACAGCCCTGACCTGTTTTCTCTAGCAACCACTTGTGCGTCCCAACTGACCCCACATTCAGTCTGAAAAGGGACAGTATAGTTTTTAGTAAATAAATTAAATACCGATTAAATAAGTGTTATTTTATAAAGAGTATTGTATTATTTAGGTTAGCGGACATAGGTACATTTCATTCAAATGATATTCACTTTTATTAATGTAAGTCTATAAAATTATAGTGCAAAGTTCAATTTTGTCCCTTTTCACCCCGTTCTGCGGTACTTAACCACCATATTAAATTTTCTAATGATTTTCTAATATAACCTTATGGCATTTGACATGACATTGACAGAATGCGTGCTGCAAATATCGTCGAAGTGGATGTAAAAAAACTGGACTTTTTTTTTGTTTTTTTTCCCCTACCTAAGCTGGTAGCCTTAAGAGGCTATTCCAGCGTAACCATAACTAGTAGGTGAGCTCACGGGGCTCAAACCTGACGACGTTGCTAACACGAACCCTAGCAAGAGTCGTGCTTCGCAGAATCTACCACCGGATCGGAAACGCGACCCACTGAGAAGATCCGGAGAGAAACTCAGTGGGCTGTGTCTGAGGGTTAATTTACTCGTCGAGCCCTTCGTCGCAAGCGAAGGGTTCGACGAGAACGGTGACCGGTGCTTGAAGTACTTAAAAGCACCGTTAGTGGATCGGGAGGATCCGAGATGACGTGTTTTGGGCGACGTCGACTGCTTTCCATTCTGTCCGCAGGATCGGGAATGTAGTTACCGGCGGCCACGATGAGAGGGTTCTCGTGTCGTGCCGCTTTATCGAAGTGACGCATCGACGCCGACTGAAGATACTTACTGATGGACTCTAGGTCCAGGTCGTCATCGAGGTCGACGGTCCTGACGAACCACGGGGCTCCGACGGCTATCCTACAAAAACGGGATTGAATGATTTGGAATGATTTTAAATGAGTGCGGGCCGCGTGAGCGAACACTACACTTGCATAGGTCATGACGGGCCGTATGCAAGTTTTGTAGAGTGTCACCTTATTTCTAAGGGACATTTTACTTTGCCTGCATATCGTCGGGTAGAGGCGTCCCAGAATGAAGAAAAGGACGTGAGGTCGAAATGGGACTATCTCTGTGATGAGTCTTTGAACATTTCATTCACACCATTGAATTTAATTCAGTATAACTCATTGAAGACACAGCTTAGGCCATTCACTACATTCACTACATGACGTCGTATATCCAAAGTTTCGAGGTTTTTGTGCTTTTTGTAGTCATTCGCCTCTAGAATGAAATACACCGGTATACACCGTTCATTGATACGACTATGATAATGACATTGGCCAACGATCATAAGCGTCAACAACCGCTTAGAATCAGACGGGTCTTATGCTCCTTTGCTTTCCAGGGCGCAACAGGCTAGAACTGTAAGTAAGAAGCTGACCCAGGACAAGAATCACCTACGACTCCAACTTCACACATACCCACAGCGATCAGTAGGAAAACAGGAAATCACATTTTATAAGATTTTCTAGTTATCAATTACATTTCGTCGAAGTGCTTAGTGTTTTAATAATGAAAACTAATTATCTCTCAGACACTAATACTAGCATCAAAATAATTGTTTCAGCTTGCATCGACAATGCTTTATACATACCAGACTACCACTGCAAAAGCACAATTTCCTATGGCTTTCATAAACAATACAACCCCGAAAGGAAATGTCACTCAATAGTCTCCAGCGCGTGGTCTCCGGTCGGCGGTGAAGACGCTGAAAGAGCGGAGTTCCCCTTCATGGTAATGCACCGCAGAGATCGTAAGGGCAGTGCACGTGTCGCAGAGGCTCGCATAGGTACTGATGTGCACGTGTGCTGCAGGCGCTGCTGGGGTTCGGACCGAGCGCGGAGGAGGCGCAGTGGCTGTGCGGCGGGTCGGTGATCTCCGCGCGGTACATCCTCACGGCGGCGCACTGCATCTCCGAGCCACGCCTGTCAGTTCACTCGCCGGCGCCACGCTACCACGCACACGCACACACAGACACTAGACGCCAATAAACAGCACGCCCTGTCGTCCGCAGGGGACCCTTGAAGTACGCAGCTCTCGGCATCCTGAAGCGCTCCGACCCTCCTGAGATCTGGCAGCGGCACNCCACGCCTGTCAGTTCACTCGCCGGCGCCACGCTACCACGCACACGCACACACAGACACTAGACGCCAATAAACAGCACGCCCTGTCGTCCGCAGGGGACCCTTGAAGTACGCAGCTCTCGGCATCCTGAAGCGCTCCGACCCTCCTGAGATCTGGCAGCGGCACACCCTCGCCCAGGTCATCCCGCACCCCGACTACGTCTCGCCCTCCAAGTACCACGACATCGCGCTCCTCAAGACAGAGAAACAGTATGTGTTATGTAAATGTAATCATTAAATAACTAACATCACACTACATTGGAAAATAATGTCGTAAAACTAAAATAGAGAACGCTGATAAATAAGATTGGATTATTATGTTATATAAATCAATTTTTAAACTATTCTTACGCTTGGTCAGTAGTTAGTCGAATGTTACGTCCGATGTTTGTAACGTGTCAATGAAATAAATAAAAAAAAAAGACAAGAATTCGATGAGATTAGTTCTGTTTACAGATTTTGTTCAGGGAAATAAAATATATAAGCAGTTCGCGCGCGCGCATCCCTCCGTGTGGGCGCGTGTTGCTAAACGCTAGTGCGTATCGCGATAAAATGACGCAAATTTTATCGTGAAATGTAATGCGTGCAATATAGTGATCGACGAAATGCTATCGTACATTCAAATTAAGGTGTCGCTGATAGATGAGGAAACGTTGGCGCGAATTTGTATAACGTCATTCTCAGCTGAGGAAATCAGTAAGTCGAAAACGCTATTGTTTGATTCCGTGTCTGTGGGCAGGTTGAAAATTAAGCGCAAAAACAAGGGCAAAGAAGAACGACATCTCGTGGACATTGTGAATGTATTTAAATCTATGGAACCTGATCTTTTCCCGATTTACGTTGCGAGAGATCTGGACAGATTACCTCCCCTAGTTTATGATCATTTTGATTGTAGTAAGATATTAAAAGACTTACTAAAATTTCAAACTGAAATTAACGATCTAAAGGCGACATATTTCAGCAAAACATACAGAAACAAGTCTAACATATTAATTATACGTAAGCACACATACACACACATAAAAAAAAGTTTTTAAAATTAACTTTAAATTTCCATAAAGATTAAAGGGGCTTAAATAAATGAGATTGGTGAAATGTTACGTATTGATAAAGAATTAAAGGTATCTTAAAAAAATTGTGATTCTGAAACACACTGTCTAGGCCCTTGGATCCAATGAGGATATTCCAGCTCCTTGGCATGAAGTGACAATTAGACGGCACTAAGTCTGGTTCCGGGTCGTTACAGCACGATCCACGGAGTGTATTCCAACAAAAATATAGTCACGATAAACGGGACTATTGGAACTCTACAATAAATTAATTATATACAACAAATCTCAAAAATCTACAGAGATCAGACAAAGTGATCTAATAATAGGTTGGGTAAAATTCTGTTCGCATTATAGTATGTATGAACTTGTAATAAAATCTCTTTGGCTATACTATTTGTATCTGGCTGGTTTTGTTATCATTAAAAGTTTAAATTATAAAGAAGATAATTCCAATTTCAAATTAGGAAAATGTGTGATTTTTATTTATTTTTCGTACTGTCAGGATGAGTGAATATTTAATGAAGAATTTCGATACATTTTAAAATTTTACTACAAAAAAGGTAAAAATGCAACGCGAGCCTCGAAAAAAATTTGCGATATTTATGGACCTATTGCAGTGTCTGTGAGAGTAGCACTTTGATTAGCGTTTTCAATCCGGAAATTTTGATGTCAAAGATGCACGTCGCTCTGGTCGCCCTATTACGGATAAAATGGCTGCCATTTCTGAAAAAGTGGAGCAAGGTCGGCATATCAGTAATTACAACGTAGCTGAAGAAGTGGGAATTTACCATAAAACAGTTTTAGTGCATTTGAAAAAAACTGGGTACACAAAAAAAACGATATTTGGGTACCTCACGAGCTCACTGAAAGAAACCTAATGAACCGTGTACTCATTTGTGATTCTTTGTTATGACGTAATGAAACCGAACCATTTTTGAAGAAGCCGATAACTGGTGATGAAAAGTGGATCATGTAGGGTAAGAACGTGTGAAAAAGGTCGTGGTCAAAGCCGGTCAGGCTTCACATACTGTGGCGAAACCCGGGTTAACTCGCAACAAGGTGATGCTGTGTGTGTGGTGGGATTGGAAGGGCATTATTCATTATGAGCTATTACCACCAGGTAGGACCATCGATTCTGAACGCTACTGCGAACAACTGATGAGATTAAAGCAAGAAGATGAGAGGAAGCAGCCGGAATTAATCAACAGAAGGGGTGTGGTTTTTCATCATGATAACGCTAGACTTTACACACCTTTAGCCACTTAACAAAAATTAAGAGAGCTTGGCTGGGAGGTGTTAAGGTATCCGCCGTATAGTCCTGATCTTGCACCTTCAGATTTCTACCTGTTTCGGTCTCTTCAGAATTATTTAGGCAGTGTCAGGTTAACACCACGAGAGGACTGCCAAAACCAATTGTCGCGGTATTTAAATCAGAAGCCCCAAAATTTCTATAGCAATGGGATCATGTCCCTACCTACAAGATGGTAAAAAGTTATCGAACAAAATGGTACCTAAATACTTTAGTTAAATGTAAATAAACAATATTTAAAATGTTGTGAATTTTCTTAAAAAATGCGAAGAAATTTTTTCCCCGACCTATTATAAATTGGGCACTATTCGTAAACAGCTATTTAAGTATGAAGAGACTAGACCTTTATTGTAAATACTAAGCGCGGTTTTTTTTTGTTTCCTCCTTAAGCTGAGAGCCTTGAGAGGCTATTTCAGCGTAACCTTAACTAGTAGGTGAGCTCACGGGGCTCAAACCTGACGACGTTGCTAACACGAACCCTAGCAAGAGCCGTGCTTCGCAGAATCTGCCACCGGATTGGAAACGCGACCCACTGAGAAGATCCGGCGAGAAACTCAGTGGGTTGTGTCTGAAGGTTAAGCGCGGCTTCAGAATGACTGGCTTTATTGGTTGCACGCGTTTTTATGCAATCGAGAACAAAAGAATAATAAATGCAGGCGCTGTCAACATTTGGACAGAATTTCATAGTTTCAGTTTGTAATTTTGTTTGTTCCAGAATAGAGTTCAACGTGAATGTGGTGCCTGCGTGTTTATACTCTGGTCGGATATCTCCCTATATTAATAAAACCCGAGCACTAGCCCTGGGGTGGGGCTATTTGGGGCCGAGGAAACGCTTGGCAGATGTGCTGCAAAAGGTCTGTAGGGCCAGATTTAACGCAGTATAAGTAATTGATGAGAATTTTTTGTTCAGTTTCACATCAACCTAATTTGTCTTTTATTAGTATTAAGTTGGAAATTGCCTCTATTGAATAACAGTATTTATTTATGATTTACTACTTGCTACGTACTTACTTACTTACCTTAAACAAAGGCTTTCTTTGATATTAATTTTTAGTTTAAAACAAAATTGAACAATATAGTGAATGATGACCCGTGAATGGTTATGGTATACCCGTTTGATTCTTATTTAATTCATTATATACCGGAAAAGCCTTGTGGTATCGGACTACAATAATACCATCCCATATCCTTCCGGGGGTATTGTATAAGGCGATTAAGAGAGTGTGAAAAAGTATTGACTTGCTTTAACTTATTCATCATTCATTATTACGGGTCCATCTGTTCGAGTCTTTCTCCAGCCATAACGATCCCCGTTCCACTGGGTCTAGAAGACAAGGATGAGTATATGCACCTGTATCTCGCGCATACATTTGTGTATTTTAATTTATCCTGCGCAACTGACGGCTTCCATATTATTATAACCGCATCCACATATAAAGGACTTCAATTTTAGGTCACATGACCTGAAGCTAGCTACCAAAGCACATTTATAGGCAAAATTCTCAACATGTCTGTTCCTAATCGGAATACGGAAGTGCTGCGTAAAGCCAATATGATGGGCATTGACGCTTAGCCATCAACGTCTCCGGTCCAGAAAGAATGGTCAGTGGGGACAAAAGATGGCTTCGCAGCGACAGCGGCGTCGATTGATCACTCCGCCATGATGTGGACGAGAAGGTTTTTTGCCCTTGCGGAGTGGTCCAAATTACCCTGTAGGAAGCGATAAACGTGTCTCATTATTAGGGCGACCCCGTAGACGAGACCCACAGTACGCAGATTGTGCACCACAGGCCCGTTCACGGCCGGGAAGATAGATCAGGCCATAACCATCAATATTTTGTTTTGCCACTCCTAATAAACACTTAAGGACATCAAGGGCTCCATAACGACAGAATAATTTTTGCTGGGTTCTGTGGCATTGTATCAGACTTAAAATAAATTTTCCTATTGTGTAAACTAGCTTTCCTCGTTAGCAGTAATTTAGTAAGTCATTCTGTACAAACAAGGTTGAAGTGAGCGAGTTCACCGCCGAGGAGTGCTTGAAGCAGTATCCTCCGCACCGTCACCTGCTCGACGGGTTCGACAACAGCACGCAGCTGTGCTTCGGAGACCGCGACACACCGCACGACACTTGCCAGGTTAGTTTGGTTCTCATAATTTAAGGAATCCAGATGCACGACTGAGTTGTCTCATATGACAACGTACTGTGACAGGGTGACAGCGGCGGTCCCTTGATCCTGCACGAGAGCGAGGCGGGCTGCACCAGGGCTGTGCTCGGCGTGACGTCATCAGGCGTGGCGTGTGGCGACGCGGGCGCCGGCCTCTACACGCGCATCGAGCACTACAAGCCTTGGATCGTGAGCATCGTCTGGCCTTGAAGATTTTTAACTAAACTTATTAGAAATTGTTTTAATTCATTGTTCTCTTCCAAATTGAATATAAAAGAATCTTTATCGGCTTTTGGTTTAATTTGACTTTAGAAAAATACACAGAATGTTTGCTGGCCTGGTACCTGCCCGTACCTGCCCGTACGCTTACGCCCTTCCTTCACAAATAGACTTAGGACCGCAGACATCGACGTTGCACTTGACTATTGTACTGTACCTCGTTTGTTTTTCCCTCTGAAACCCATCGTAATTGTGGTACTCAATGTGCTGGTCAAAATGTTGTATTTCAGTATCTCTTAGCTTCTTACAATATTACAATTTTCGACATTATTCAGTATTACTTTCGTACTTTTAATATAAACGTTACGTATTTTGTATTGATTTATTATGTTGGTGTTAGCTATTACTCAATGTCATGTACATAATTTTAGATAGATGACAGGTAGACCCCTGAGTGCACTTGTCAATCAACTTGATACGAGCTAATTACACTTTTCGTAAAGTAAAGTGCTTATTGCGGGTAGACAAACTCAGTGCCCATCTGATGTTAAGTGGTTATCGGACCTCGTAGACAGCAACAACGTCAAGCCCGCCGACCAGCTTGTGACATGAGCTCTAAGTCTCGGCTTTATAGTAAATGCTGTCCCACTACAGTAGTTCTCCTACAATATGCCGTACCTTTAATAATTATGGTACGTTAATATATTGTGGTCTTTGCTTAATTCCATGTCTTCATTATTGTAGCGGATGAAGCAGAAAGATTCTTGAGTGGAGACCACGTAGTGGCAAGCGCAATGTGGGACGGCCACCAAGCAGATGGGCCGACGACCTAATGAACATCGCTGGGTCGCGTTGGATGCAGGTGGCAACGGACTGGCCGCACTGGAGATAGATTAGAGAAGCCTATGTTTAGCAGCGGACACATACAGACTGACATGATGATGATACCTTCATCGTGGAAGTTGTCCGCGAAGACAGCACGATGCGTATTTCTTTAGAAAAATTGCTCCCTGTCTGAGGAACTTGAAAATCGGCATTGTTTTCGGGCTCCGACTTCGGTACCTTATAGCGTAACTAGTCACTGTCTACATATCACTTGGAGAGACATCCTGCTCCTGTTAAGTTAATACGTCTACTCGTATATACCTATATAGTACTATAATTTAAATAAAACAATCCTAATACTTTCATGACTAAAGTCGTGTTCGTAAAAATAGATTGATACCAGAAGACTACTAGGGGGCGATCAAAATTTTGTGAGAATGAGATAGAATTTAATGACTATTGATAACTTAATAATTTATTTTTCTACATAGTCTCCGAGTCTCTACACAGCGAGTCCAGATCTTTGCCAAGGCTTCAATCCATTTAAAAAAAAAAGTTTTGTGTTGGTTCTGCAAAAAGCTCTCGACGGCTTCCATCACCTCGTTATCGTCTTCGTACCTGTTTCAGTTGTTACTACATTTAGAAAAAACAAAAGAGAATCGAAATTGTTTTCCTTTATTAATATTGCAAATATGAATCTGAGCTATACCCGCCAGTATTTATTTTACAAGGAATGTGTCGTTCTCACTACTTTTTGATCACTCCTCGTATATAAGAACTGTCTGTGGTTGAGGGGCAGTAGGACACCGCTATCAATGAGACCATACTTCTACAGTTCAAATTAGAACTTTTCTACTTTTAATGGAGGTATGAATAATGTTGGGTGTGTATTTAATATGCGAATTGAACAATCAAACACATTTATTACGTATAATAAAACAATGCGAGACTTGGACACGATACGGACACGCCCACTTACTCCACGCGGACCATAGCACGCCGCAGCGGAGCAGAGATCAGTAGAGATGCGTGAACTGCACGACCACGATGAGGTAGGTGACGCAGATGCTGAGCACGGTCACGGGGAGTGTGCAGTCCAGCGAGAGCACCCGACACGCGCGGAGCCGGAACGGCCGAGCGGAGACGTACCCCGCGAACTGTTTCACTTTGCGACGATCATCTTCCACTGAACAGAAAAGTACTCATCACCATCAGTAAACAAGCGACTTATTGTAAGGGATCCTATTGTTACGCTCTGGGGTTCGGGATAAATAAAAATTCTACCGAAGTATAAATTACGACTGTATCGACACTTAGAATTCTCACAAAACAATTTAAAAAATTTAATTCAATTTTTTCGCTTTGCTTCAAGTGATTCGTTCGCTGTTTCGCCTCGAGTAGTTCCGATCACCAACAGAATTCGTGCCATCTCTGCCACGCTTTTATAGTCGATACAACATCCCTAGATTTATCGAGAACATTCTGGACAAGTCGAGCTTTGATGTGTTTCTGCCATCTGACAATAGATGGCGTTATACTTCTTGAGGTTTCTCTATGATTCTTGTTCCTTTGAAATTCGTTTCGGCTATTCAACGATAGATGGCGTTACTCTAACCGGCCTAACACTATCATGGGAATCACTCTACGGAATTGTCAGAGGTTGACCCGTGAGGCGATACTGACGTCATTAGACCAGAGTCCATTCCACAACTCTCCCTCATTTTTGAGCGTAGGTACATATTGTTACGCACTGAGGTTTGGGATACATAGAACTTACACCGAAGCACAAATTAAAACTATTACTATTAGAAACACATAGAAAACCTAAAATTTTTAATTAACTTCTTCTGCTCTACTTCAGGTAATCCGTTCGCTGTTGTGTTTCGAGTAGATCCGATTACTAATTATTTTCGTATCATCTCTGCATTTCGTATCATAGTCGACATGAAAACTCTACAATTATCGAGAACATTCCCGATAGGGCGAGTCGTTTCAATATGTGTTTCCGCTATTTGATAATAGATGGCGTTACACTTCTCGAGCGCTCTCGATATTACTAGTTCTTCTGCTATTCGTTTCTGCTATCGAACGACAGGTGGTGTTACTCTTAGCGGCATAACAATACTCCATGTACTCCTCATATATATTATTGTTTTATTCTTTATCACGCTCTACAACCTAGTTTTTGAGAGATTTCAACTATAAACTATGTTTAACTAATAATTATATTTACTTCTAATTAGTAACACACTTTAATTTAAACTTTTCAGATTGGAGACGCAACCTTTCATAAACGCCCCGTAGTATACGAGCGTCCGTGAGGTGACAGACAATTAATTACTTGTAGGCAGTTATGGAATGTTAATGACAGATATGTTAAGGTGTGTACAACTGAGTACTGTGACCAAATAGCTCTTACGCAGGGAGTCGTCTGTCTGTAGAATGTTGTTGAGAGTGACTTTTATTTTCTGCGCCTCGCTCGCCATCATGTCCGCCGCGACCACTGGCGCGAACGCAGACGAGAACAGCAGGACAGTTTCCAGATAACGAGGTGCTGTCCTAATAAATTTCATCTGAAACATGTAAACTTTTGTTAAAGATTTATGTTTGATATTTTGTACAGACTTTGGTAACTAGTTCACACCTGCTGTGCGATGAGCTCGTCTTCTCAACTAATAAAGGAAACAATGACAGTGCGCAGGGTGAACGCTACCGGCCCACCACTGTGTTATTGAACGGCATGAGTTTAGCTTACAAATAATTTATAGGATCTGAGAATTTATAGAAAAACTGTAGATAGTGTTATTAAGTTAGTTAATTATTGTTTAGTATATTTTAGAATAATATGTTTGAGATATCAACGTGGAAGAAAATTAAAGAAGACCTGATGACATTGCGACTACGTTCAAAAAGCACTTAAAGAAAAAGAAAAGACCTTTATAGAATTACAGAACACATATTCCCCAGATTTGGTTACGAAAGAGAAGTTAAAAACAGCATATAAAGAAAGTAAGAAGCTGGCTAAAAAGTATGTAGATATTGCCAGGGCCAAGGCACAAGATGCATTGTATGAGCCGCTAGAAAGACCTGAAGGACAAACGCACCTGTACAGAATGGCCAAAGCAAGAGAGAAGGATGGAAGAGATTTTAGCCACATTAAATGCGTGAAAGATAGTGCAGGAAGAGTGTTAACAAATTAAAGGAAATAGGAGATAGAGATGGAAGAGGGACTTTGAAAAGTTGATGAATGAAGAGAATGACTGGAGTGGTGAACTATAAAATGTGAGAAGTAAGTATGCAAGAAGTACGAAAGGCTGTACAAGATATGAAGAATTGAAAATCTACTGGACTAGATAGTATCCCAATAGAGGTGTGGAAGTTTCTGTAAGCGGATGGATGGACGTGGCTAACTTAATTCTTCAACAAATTATTCCAAGAAGAGGCCATGTCTAACGAGTGGTGCAAAAGCTCACTGGTATCTGTATTCAAGAACAAAGGTGACGTTCAGGTATGCAGCGGTAAGCAGCGGCCTGGCTCTGCTCCTGGCGTTGTTGAAGAAGGAGAGGAAGGGCCCGCGGTACAGAGGAGACTGGCACAATGGAAAGAAAGGTTGGAAAACGTGGGTTTCAAGATCAGTCGAATAAAAACCGAGCACATATTGACTTCCACGGTGAAGGAATAACATCGTGTAATAAAAATGAAACCCGCAAAATTATAATTTGCGTAATTACTGGTGGTAGGACCTCTTGGGAGTCCACACGGGTAGGTACCACCACCCCGCCTATTTCCGCCGTAAAGCAGTTATGCGTTTCGGTTCGAAGGGTGGGGTAGCCGTTGTAACTATACTGAGACCTTAGAACTTATATCTCGAGGTGGGTGGCGCATTTACGTTGTATATGTCTATGGGTTTCAGTAACCACTTAACATCAGGTGGGCTGTGAGCTCGTCCATCCATCTAAGCAATAAAATAAAATAAAAAAAATAAAAAAATATATTCTGTGATTTTGGTGGTTCGTCAGACTTCACGCCAATCGCCTTAGATGGTGTATCCCTGCCAGTCTGCTCCGACTTCAAGTACCTCGGCTCAATACTCCAGAACGACGGCAATTTAGACCGTGACGAAACAAGCCGAATAAACGCTGGTTGGGTGAAATAGCGACAGGTCTCTGCAACAGTATGCGGTCGTAGAATGCCCCTTAAGCTCAAGGGGAAAATTTATAAAACGATCATTAGACCTGTCGTGATATGTGGATCTGAATGTTGGGTGAAGAAAGTAAAGCATGAAAGAAGAGTGCATGCGGCAGAGATGCGAATGTTGAGATGGATGTGTGGAGTGACAAGAATGGACAAATAAAGAATGAGTATATCAGAGGAAGTGTGAAAGTAGCCCCGGTAAGCAACAAATTAAAGAGCGGACGGTTAGCGTGGTATGGACATTTGATGCGTAGAGAGAAGATGCACGTAACAAGGAGATGTATTTTTTTTTTTTTTTTTATTGCTTATATGGATGGACGAGCTCACAGCCCACCTGATGTTAAGTGGTTACTGGAGCCCATAGACATCTAGAACGCAAATGCGCCACCCACCTCGAGATATAAGTTCTAAGGTCTCTCAGTATAGTTACAACGGCTACCCCACCCCTCGAACCGAAACGCATTACTGCTTCACGGCGGAAATAGGCGGGGTGGTGGTACCTACCCGTGCGGACTCCCAAGAGGTCCTACCACCATGGAAATGGTAGTGCAAGATAGAGGGAGAAGAGAATGATGATAAGAGAGAAAGAGTAGTGAGTGTTAAGTATTAGTAAGAAAGAGGAGTGAGTATATTAGTTAAGTGTATCGTCTTTCACGCAATCCATCCATGTTTTCTTAGGTCTACCTCTTCCTCTACCATAACAGGGTTCATAATAAAAACATAAGACTGGCCACATTAAAAATATGCCAATTTGTGTCTTTTTTTATTGCTTAAATGGGTGAATGAGTTCATGGCCCACACGCGGTGCTTGTGAGGCTTGACGGTCTACTGATGTTCAGTTGGGAGCAGACCGCGGGCCAAAGGATGTTTTAGAACCCTATCCACTAAACGAGTCTTCTGTTAAATATAGCTAAGACTAATTGTGTGTGTTTTGTAATAAATATTGTGTAAACAAAATAGTGACTAAACTTAGTCACGGAATGCCCGTTGTTTTGCACCCAGTACTTCACGGCCAGAACGCAGGTTTTTGCCTGATTCTTTAATTCTGTGATAAACATTGTTACAGATTAAACTGAATCTAAAATTTTCGTAATCTGAAAGCCAATATCTAAGATTATACGTACCGTTTGTCCATAAGAAATTTCCAAAGTCACCAAAATATTTATCATCGCTATGGCTACTGCGTTTAGTAGGATCACGAAGAACTAGAACAATCGAATGGATCATGAACAGTCACTGAGAAAATACAAAGTTCAGATTTATATCAACATAATCAAAAGATCAGCAAATAAAAACTACTGAAACAGAGCTATAAATATTTACCGGAACATCCAAACTTTTCTTGATTTCTTCCAAATTATCAATCAACGACTTGTATATGAGAGTACCTTTGTAAACATCAAATTTCTCGTTCAGAGATATTCTCAGCGCCTTCAGTCGACAATAAACCGAATGAAATATTGTAAAGTGTACCACGAGATACAGATCCGAGCAGTAACAGGGTGTGTTGTAGACTAACTCGACGCAAAATCCTTCGTGAAGGGTCTCGTAGTAGGCGATAGCACAGAACACGTAGACAGTCAGTCTCAGCACGCTCACCACGACCGTGTACAGCGCGAGCTTCACTTCAATACTGGGACCGACACTCTTCTTCAACTCCTGGTCGACACTGTACAAGTACTCGAACAGGTTCTTGCAGCTCAGAGCAGATCTACTCAGCATGAAGCAGACCACTATCGCTAAGCTTTCACTAAAAGTCAAAGAGTACCAAATTGCTTCCAAGAGCCGGAAATGAAACGCAATATAAATGCAGTTTGAAGCGATGATAAATCTCAGTAATAAGACTGAGGCTTGTATGACCCGCAAGAAGTTGAGGCCGCGGCCGGTGTAGAAACCGAAGTTGAAGCCAGTAAGAATGTAAATCACGAAGAAGTATATCTTCATGAATCTGGAACATGTTTTGATTTCTCCCTTATCTGACTGGTTGACCATCGAGATGACTTTTGTCGATCGCCTCATGGTGACTGCCTCGTAAACACAACTATGTCGTCAGTATTTGGCGTTTAATACTGCACTAATATTAACGATTCTCACAGAAACTTGTATTTTTTTATTTCAATTCCGAACCGTATTATCATTGCGGTACACAAATTGCAACTAAATTATGGGTTTAGTTCAATCATTAGTGTTGGTAAAGAATAATACAAACTCAAGTAAAACTATGATTGCAGCGGTCAGAGTAAATATTAGACATTCGATTTTAATTACCTAACGTTATTTTCTATATTTTTTTTTCATATTTAATTATGCTCAAACTAGAGGGCTATGTGCTCTATGGGCTCCAGTAACCACTTAACACCAGGTGGGCTGTGAGCTCATCCACCTATCTAAGTAACAAAAAAAAGTACAGGCACAATAATAATATTGTACTTAGTCTGGCCATTAATACTGTTACAATTAAAAATAAACAAAATATTACATTTGAATTTGGAATCTGTCATTTTTATATTATGATTGCTCATTGAGTTTTCTCATTTTGGCGCCAATACATTGTACAATATTTTGCGATATTAAAATGGAGTGGGGTGATAAAGATAACCGAATCGCTGTGATTGCATTACACAAAGTAGGTATGAAGCCAAATGCAATTTTTAAAGCTCTCCATACGCTTGGTATTAGTAAAATGTTTGTGTACCGGGCTAATAACAGGTGAAATGAGACCTCCTCACACACATGAAACCAAAAAAATAAAATAAAAAAAATTAAAAAAAAGTAGCCTATGTTCATCAGGGACAATGTCGGCTTCTAATGGAAAAAGAATTTTTCAAATCGGTCCAGTAGTTTCGGAGCCTATTCGAAACAAACAAACAAACAAATCTTTCCTCTTTATAATATTAGTATAGATAATCGGGGGCTAGAATGTATTTCTAATAATCTAGAAATTATACAACACAATTAATTATAGCAGAAGAACCTTTGTACTCTTTGAACAAGAGTGATAATATATTGTTTATTGCCCTCCTTCGCCACCGCCTCGTCTGAAGGTTTAACGACTGTCGCACGGGGTAAAAAAAAAATACATGTGTGCAATTCACACGTGGTAGAAGTGAAACCTTCCAAAATTAAAATACAATGATCCCAAACGTCTTAAGTATATGTAAAATTTTGTCATTAGTAAATAATTGTAAGGTAGCGCCCTCTGTGAATTGATATTTTAATTTCACGTATAATCCTAAATTAAAATTCACTACAAGAGCTTTCATACACACGTTAGTATTAAAAAATCTCACAGATGGCGCTGTATTAAATAGTATGTATATTTCTGTCTCATTCTTTGCTGGCTTCATCCTACACATTTTTGTATTTGTGTCTCTTACCTGTCGTTTTTTCCGTTGCATCCGGTTTGAAATCACAACGATTCTAAAGNACAAGAGCTTTCATACACACGTTAGTATTAAAAAATCTCACAGATGGCGCTGTATTAAATAGTATGTATATTTCTGTCTCATTCTTTGCTGGCTTCATCCTACACATTTTTGTATTTGTGTCTCTTACCTGTCGTTTTTTCCGTTGCATCCGGTTTGAAATCACAACGATTCTAAAGAAGTTTTCACTTCAAAAACGTGCCTGCGCTACAGAGTCCCGCGATCCCGCGACCTCCTCCAAACTCCGCGAACGTTTCACACGTTAAAATCCTCGAGTCGGACTCAGCCCACCGCGCTAGCCCGTCGCCGCGACCGAAAAACGGCTCCCAAAAGCCCTACCCCCCCTGATCCTTCAAGAGAAGTCAACGTGGGATTGCGCCTTCCATGCCCTCCGCACGCTTAGAATTAATTATGCCAGCGCGCGAAACCGCGTTTAAGGGATTCAAATTCAAATCCCCACCCCCAACAACCACTGTGCGCTTGCAGCTTACCTCCAAAAGGAGCGTATATCACCGCTATACGCTTAAGGAGGATCGCGAACACCGCGTCGTCAACCCCGGTATCCACAAAAAGTTTTACGTGGAACTCATTAAGACCGACATAAAGGAACAATCGATCCCGGTAACCGGTGTGCAACGCATGCACAGTGGCCAGGGAAAGTTCCCATACAATATGGTATAGGTCATCCTCGACCCCACCCCAGAGGGTAAGCGTATTCCCTGTTCCCTCAAAACCGTCTACGGCCTCTTCTGGATCGCAGTAGAGGCCCTCCACAAGCGCAGTGCAGCACTCCCGAGCAGTGCCACCACTGCTAATTATACGGGCACTCCTCCGCTAACTGCCACGCATGCTCCCGTTACGTGAAATGCCTGGGTGATCTGGCCACTGCCCATTGTACCACTACGCGATATGAATACTGCAACCGAACCTTCCAGCTGTGTCCAATGCTGAACACAGAGTCACCACGCTAACTACTATAACCGCCGCATCGCCCAAAAACCACCGGCCCTTACTACGCGCGACTCTAAAATCCTCTAAAATCTCAATTATGTCACGGTTAGGAATGATAGAATTCACGCCCCTAAAGGTAGGAGAGCCATTTACTATAAATGCCTGTCCTGCACTGCATCAAAATCGATTCTCNGCTGTGTCCAATGCTGAACACAGAGTCACCACGCTAACTACTATAACCGCCGCATCGCCCAAAAACCACCGGCCCTTACTACGCGCGACTCTAAAATCCTCTAAAATCTCAATTATGTCACGGTTAGGAATGATAGAATTCACGCCCCTAAAGGTAGGAGAGCCATTTACTATAAATGCCTGTCCTGCACTGCATCAAACTCGATTCTCCCTCGCTTCCTCAGTTCGAGACATCAATCTACTCGGTTCAGACGGTATTTCTAACCGCGGTATTACGGTTCTACCCGCCCAACTCATCGTGATATTGGCATCTATTTTCAATGCCGCTATGATGAACTGCATCTTTCCCGCGGTGTGGAAAAAAGCGAACGTTATCGGCATACATAAACCCGGTAAACCAAAAAATCATTCGACGAATTACCGCCCGATTAACCTTCTCATGTCTTTAGGCAAACTTTATGAGCGTCTGCTCTACAAACGTCTTAGAGACTTCGTCTCATCCAAGCTCATTCTCATCGATGAACAACCAAAACTGTTATACACGGCAGCTCTCTTCTTCGACGTCGCAACAGCGTTTGACAAGATTTTCAAACATTTCAACATGGGCGTACCGCACAGTCTCATGCTCATCATACTGGATTTCTTGTCGAACCGCTCTTTTCGATATCGAGTCGAGGGAACCTTTTCCTCACCGCGACGGCTAGAGTCCCACAAGGCTCTGTCCTCTCGCCGCTCCTATTTAATTTATTCATCAACGACATTCCCCGGTCGCCACCGACTCAGCCTTATTCGCCGACGACACAACGGTTTTCTACTCGAGTCTACAAATCCCTTAAAGCGAGTAAGCTACAGAGCGCAGCCATGACCCCTGAACAGTGGTTCCGAAAATGGCGCATATCAACCCAGTGAAAAGCACAGCAGTGCTATCTCAAAGGGGAAACTCTACACGAATTCTTCTCTCATTAGGAAGAGAAATCTCACACCTCCGATCACCCTCTTTGGCCAACCCTACCCTGTGCCAGGAAGATCAAGTACTTGGGAGTCATCCTGGATGCATCCATGACATTCCTTCCGCATATTAAAACAGATCGCGAACGTGCCGCGTTTATTCTCGGCAGACTTTATCCCATATTAAGTAAACGGAGTAAAATGTCCCTTCAGAACAAAGTGACACTTTACAAAACTTACATAAGGCCCGTTATGACTTACGCGAGTGTGGTGTTCGCTCGCGTGGCCCACACACACAGACACTCTCCTATCCCTACAATTCCGCGGAACGTCGACCTACACGACGACCTGGGCTTCGAATCGATCCGCAAACACTTAAAGTCAGTGTCGGAACGTTACTTCGATAAGGCTATGCGTCATGATAATTGCCTTATCGTTGCCGCCGCTGACTACTCCCCGAATCCTGATCACGTAGGAGCAAGACACCGTCCTCGCCCTAGACACGTCCTTAAGGTAAGAGTTCCCTCTATCTCGCTCCGCCGCCTCCTTCTGCGAGATGGCAGATTCGCAGAAATCGAGCGTCTCCCAGGAAACATCGTTGTCGAGCACCGTCGCTACGACGGTCGGCAGCGACGGCCCTCCCCCATGACCGCGACAAGGGCGGCGCGTTGCTACAACCAGGCGGTGCAGCGCGCGAGCGTGTGCTCCACGGACTCCTTCTCGTTGACTAAAAATCTATGTTACGGCAAAATATTTCTACACGACGGCTGCTTAACATTTAGCGCTACTTTCCTGTAGATTTGAACCCTCCATTTATTAAGAAGTTCATGACTTGCCTGCGACAGCCCAGCACTGTCGCGTTGCTCGATCGGGCGTGTTATCGTTTAAGCCACAGACGCTTCAAACGACTTCCTCTAGTTCTCCCCCTCTAATTCGTGATTACACACAAATTAAAATAATACATGAGATTAATCAGCCGACGTCATTTTCCTTGTATTATCGTGGCGAAAACCAATAAACTCTAAAAATGCTTATAATAATATGTTATTATACAATATTTAGCAGTCGAGGTATTCGCGTGCTTCGGTAGCATCCTCCCTGTAATGGGTATGTAAAGTACTATTTCAATATTACTATTATGGTTTTCGCTTAATATTCGAGATTCTACCATAACCTCACACGTTAATGTTTAAATTAATTTTATGTATCACATTTCATCCTTTGTTCTATTATTGACTTTTAAAAATATAAACCATTTCTACAAAATCTTATTCTAATGCTTGCCAATAACTATTAAATGAAATAAAAAACTTCAGAGGTGTCAAGGGACACCCGGATGGAACGAAGTTCCTTTCGATTAATTAGTGAAGGAATTGTATATTTTTTTAAAGTTATAATAATAAATTACGGCATTATGAAGAAAAAAAAAACAATACTATGAACTAAATTACTATTGTTGAAACGCTATCTCGAGAAACTGTACTCATTACGCGGACCAATCGGATACGAGCAATGTCACGCGATAAGCGCCTACACGTTGATTGGCCAGAATGACGGATCTAAAAAGTGTCGTGACAACTTTTCGTAAGAATTTTTTCCGTCTAGCCCCCTTTCACAACGCGCGATAAGGAACTTCGTTCCAATAAAAAAGCAAAAAAATTGTACATATACATACACACACCAAAACATTTATATATATATACATATATATATGTAATCTATCTGTCTATTCTTTCATACACGTCATAGATGCGCGGGACTTTGTAAACACAACAGAGTGTATATATATGTATATACTCTCTCGACTTCGTAAACACAACAGCGTATAGGTTAGAACACGCACGGCTTGCTAAATACATACGTTCTGATATTGTAATATTAAAATATGATTTGTTTTTGAATTTATAAAATTATGACGCGTACACTTGCTAAACACACAAAATGTGAAGATTATAATGCGTATGACTTGGTTAGCACAATAATAAAGAGAGGTTATAGTGCGTACTTGCTAAAAATACAAAAGCATTTATTATTATCTGTATATAATCTCTACTTACCTAACTCCATCAGCAATATCCGGAACTTGTGCAGAAACACTGTCAGGATTCATTATTATTATTATTTTTTATTATTTATTATTTACAAAAAACCTGTATACACTCAACAAAAATAATCGTCGCGACACCACACTGTTCAATGCGAAATAGAAATGAAAATATCTGGCTTGCTTTCTATAAGAGAGAGAGAGAGACAGACAGACAGACAGAGAAACATGCGACGCCGCACAGCTTACAATAGCTTACTATAGCAAAAAGTGTCGTGACAACTTTTCGTAAGATTTTTTTCCGTCTAGCCCCCTTTCACAACGCGCGATAAGGAACTTCGTTCCAAAAAAGAAAATCAGTTAACAAACGACAAATTAGAACTTAGAATTAGATGTATATCCGCAATTTTCCGTAGAGAACATCAGAGCTCGTCAAGAACTACTCAACAACATAAAGAAAAAGTATTATAGGTCCATAACAGAAGTTGTAACTTAGCTGTTTTGCCTTTCTGTATTAATTTATTCTTATTGAAAGCCCTGAATGGTAAACATTTATGCGTACATTGGCTTTGACAGAAATCAATTTCAGATGAGCAGCTGCTGCTGGTTGTCCTGTGCTGTGTGGGGCTGTCTGCGCAAGTACAATTGCCAGGGTGTCCCCCGCCACCGGCTCAATGCTCTTACTCGGAAGTCGTGGGGAATATGACACACGCGTATACAGTTAGAGGTATAAATTGCTTAGTCACTTTCGAACAGAAAAACCAATTTTATATTTCCAAGAGAATTACACAAAAATATATCGAGATCCACGTAAAATAAGAGCTTACTTTGGTTCCACATATTGGTATCTCCCGCTCCTACACTGAAAGTGTGAAAACGAATCAAAGAGGAACATCATGCGCTTTTAGCCACAAAACAGTGTAATCAAATACAATGCGCGTTGCTGCTGATTGATTAACGCTCTCCCCCGCGATTCTATCAAATCTGCTTAAAGTTGAAAAATGTAGGTAATATATATCGCGATAAGTTACATAAGTTATAAAAATAACATAATTTTACGACCTTCTTGTTTGACAGAGGACGCTACATCCGAATGTAATCCCAAACCCTTCTCAAAATACATATTTAGGTACTTCTGGGTCACGTTTTTGTCCCTAATGAACTTCTAAATGAACGAAATTTATTGAAATTTCACACACTGTACTTAGTTTAATCCATATTGAGAGAGTGGATAGTTATATTGTATTAATTGTACTGTATTGGAAATAAGTATTTGATAATCGTAACAGCTCCTCGCGACGCAGGCTTGTCTAGTGTACCTAAGCATCCTTTAAACACTTTATAATTTCAAATCAAAGCATGAAGGCAGTCATAACTTGAACACTTTTAATCCTCGTCTATTATGCATAGACCTGTATGCGTGTGTGATGTATAACAATCATCCGAACACGTTTTCAGAGATATTGCACTTAGTTCGCAGAATAGACAGAAATTATTCATCACACGAACAGGCGACATCGATAGAAGGATGAAAGGACTACCATGCGCTATGATGCCAATTGTGGCTGAATTTTCTTAATGCAGCGTTTAATTTCCTCTCGTAATACACAGGTGGTTGCGGGCTGATTGAAGTAGATCTTTGACTTGCAAATAACCTCATTTATAGAAATCGATATCACACAATTTAGGGGGCTAATTCTGATTACCAAAACGAGACGTCCACTGGCATGTGGCACCGTCTTACTTTGTACCATCTTAACTACTCAGTCGATTATCATAGAGAATTGCGTGCATGTTCATACATCCAAAAAGGTACTAGTTCCGAGGGGTAGATCTACGGCCTGCGGGGAGATGAGCGCGGCCGCGTGTTACAGCTACGATTGCTGTACCACGCACGAACATACGTCATTATAGCATTTGCTTGTTCTTACAGGAATCAGGCTTGTCGTCTTCGTGCGTCCGGGTACAGATTTGAGATATTATTGTTTTAACTCGAACTTGACTATAGACGACCCGTCGCTACCCAAGTTCCGAGAGTTATCAGTTTACGACAAGGTAATGGTGAACGACTGCGGTGTTCCGCGAGGGACTTACACCGACGCCGTAAGGAAATTAAGCATTACGAGCTTCCATCATCTCACACTGTTCTTCGTGACCTGCAGCAACGATACGGGGCTCTCTGCTCAGCATTTCGATGGAAACGATACATTTCATACATTGCAAATAGACTGCGAGACGTCCTACACCTCTCTGGATCTTCGATTCCTTGACTCACTGCCGGACTTGAAGAATTTAACTGTTGAGAACGTTATCATGCCTCCACTGCCCGCACACAATAAACTCACATTCGTTACTATAAGCACTGGATCTCCGAGGAGCGTCGGTCAGCCCTGGGGAGGTTGTTCCGAGTTAGAAGATTTGATAATAATGGACTGGAAAATTAATTTTCTTCCCGATCGATGGTTAGCAAATTGCCAAAAACTGATAACGATTCAGATGCTTCGACTGACGGAGTTGTACCGGCTTCCCGCCCAAATGTTTTCAAGTCCCAGTTTGAGCGCTATCGTCATCAGCGAGTGCCACGTGAACTCGTTGCCCGCCGACCTGGCAGCCGGCGCAGTGAATTTGACAGTTCTAGACGTTTCGAACAACTATATCGAGAAATTAAAGTAAGTATGTACATATGCTATGCATAATTGTGTAACTGTACAGTGTACAAACAAAGAGTAGTAAAGCTCGAGGACAGCCAGGGCTGATTGATTTTGAAGACGTCCGGTGCATTCGTGTGTAGCGATGCACCGGTGTTCCAATCCCGCAGGCGGGTACCTATTTTTCTAATAAAATACGTGCTTAACAAATGTTCACGATTGACTTCCACGGTGAAGGAATAACATCGTGTAATAAAAATCAAACCCACAAAATTATAATTTGCGTAATTACTGGTGGTAGAAACTCTTGTGAGTCCGCGCGGGTGGGTACCACCACCCTGCCTATTTCTGCCGTGAAGTGGTAATGCGTTTCGGTTTGAAGGGTGGGGCAGGCGTTGTAACTATACTGAGACCTTAGAACTCATACATCAAGGTGGGTGGCGGTATTTACCCTTAACACCTGGTGGACTGTGATCTCGTCCACCCATCTATACAATAAATAAAAAAATGATTGGTCTCCGGCACTGCTGTAACAGTACTACTGTACTACTTTGCGATCAACATTCAATCTAAAGAAGCTTGGTATCTTTTGAGGAAGCTGAGAGGAGAGAATTCAGTCATTTCCCAAACAGTTGAGGCAGCAATTTACCATGAAGTTTGTTTCGATTTGAAGATTGTTTTTTTAATGTACTAATATAAATATTTAAATAAGAAAAACGAATTACTAATCGGTAATAATCGGTTTTTATTCTTGTATAAATTATTTTCTAAGATTGGAGCAATTTGATTACATGTTGACGATTGTGATATTTCAACGAGATAAGATGATCGATAGGAAGGAACGCGAGGAGATAGCCACCAGGCAACTTGTTTTGAACGCGACTGACTAGTATATGCAGGATCGGAACGGATTTGTGTGGGTCACATTCTCGCACTCTCTCTCTCTCTCTCTTACTCTCATTTCACTTTCACAAAGCCGCTGTCCGCTTGCAAGCGGGATCGCTGCTACACTTGCGTCTAATTATAGTTATAGAAGTAACTTCATAACTTTACTGTAAAGTGATACCGTTGTGATTTCGATCCGCGTCATGAACTCTCTAGCAGAGATCCTTACTGGAGACGGCTCTCTAACCAACAACAAGAGTGTTAATTTTAAAAGAGATTTAATTTTGATCACAAAGTAGTAGATTACTGAATTACTGAATACGATGAGTGTAGTTGTAGCCGTTTGACAGCAGAACAGCAGATGTTAGCATTCTTGTGGGGTCGCTTTTTATACCTATGCTGATAGCCTTGAGAGGATATTTCAGCTTCACCTTAACATGTAGGTGAGCTCCCGGGGCTCAAACCGAAAGTGTTGCTAACACTGGCCCTAGCAAGAGTAGTGCTTCGCAGAATCTACCACCGGATCGGAAACGCGACCCACTGAGAAGATCCGGCGAGAAACTCAGTGGGCTGTGCCTATGAGTTAAGAAGGGGTGGCTCTATAACGCGTAATCGTATTGTTTTTCTTTCCAGCCATTTGTTCGAAGCCGAGCAGATGTTGCATCTTCAGTATCTGGACGTGTCAGTGAACTTGGTGTCGGCGATGTCGTTGGGCCTGCTGTCTCGGCTGCAGTCCCTGCTCGCGCTGAGGGTGGACGGCGCTGACCAGGCTCACCGGTGCCGAGTAAACTGGTCGCACTATGGAGGTTTTTATTTATTTCGCATTAAAACAATTGTGGGTTTTGAAGGGTTCAAAATATTGCCTTATCTTTTGTTTTCAACTTGTTTCATTTGAAATCATTTTACTTCATTCCGTTTTTAAGTAATTACGTCATCGGTCGCAGTACCTCATCGTACGGCATAATATGTGTAGTACTGAAGGGGCGCCCGGTGTCCTCGCATTGCGTTCTGCGACAAAACAAAACTTGTCAAAATTCTGAGACAGGTTATTATAAGGAATCAATAAAATCGTGTGATAAAAATAAAACTTGTAAAATAAATAAATGCTTGACTTATTAAGGGGACCTATGGGCCGTCACTGCGAGCCTTGGGGTCCCCCTCTATAAATACTGACTACGACCTGGCCACGCCGTCGAGTAGGATGCTTTTTGTTACTATTGCGTACCAGGAAACTGTAACTTACTACAGCTGTAAAGTTCGCTTACACTTTCAAGAGTGTTTTATGAACCTCCTAAATGTTCAGGTGGTGATGTCATTGAAATTACAGAGATATTTCCGTGGCCGGTGTTGTCGTCCCTGACCGAGCTCTCACTGCGATACAGCGACGCCCGCGCGATCTGTCCGGAGTGGGGGGAGGCCATGCCCTCGCTACAGCTACTCAACCTCACTCACACACCCATAACTGCTCTTCAGGTAAACACCAGTTCCAACATCCTGCGTGGAGACACTTCACAAACGAGCTAAGTCGTGTAGTATTTTGTGAACTGGCTAAGTGCCAATAACAATTAGATAAATGTTATGATTAGATACGTTATTAAATAATTAGATTAATAAAAAATAAAAAGAAAACATGTTTATAGTTTTAATTTATATTTCCAGTACAGCGACATTGAACTGTTGAGATACAAAAATTGGGAAGTAGATTTGCGCAGGAACACAGACTTAGCCATTATGTACAGCAGAGATGACTTTGAGAAAGTTATGTTGGACCAGGTTTGATATTTTAATTAGATAATTCTATTGTATTTCTTTCTTTAAAGCGATGTAAAGGGAGAGTTTGAGTTATTTTCGTTAACAATGCACGATTGCGCGAGATTCAGGGATTGTTGTATCACGTAATTTTGTCTAAGAACATGGAGACCCAGCAAGACGTATTTTGTCAAAGTCAATCCCTAACCATCACTGAGTGTCTGCAATCACGGCAGCACGTAATGTCAGCTCTGCTTTTACCGATGCAAGAAGATTTTGTATTTATTTAGCATTAATACAATCTATTGGATGGTGTCTTTGTGCAAAGCATCACCTGTTCCGGTTTGAGCAGGATAGTGGCACACACAGCTCAGACACAGCTGAGAGTTGAATACGATATTGTGTCACGCGGTGGATTATTATAATAGCTTTCGCACTGTAGTATTGCAGAGGTCCAATAGGCATATCGCATCGTGGAGACCATGACCTGGTCTATAATTCTACAGCACTACGTTAACAGAGAGACCAACGCCGCTCTCTATGTAGCCCATTGTTTTCGGCAGCTGCATTGGCATAATGTTACAATACAGTTTTCTTGTTTATTTTACAGAATACTACATCAGCCAAACTTTGGTTAGACACACCATACTCGTGCAATTGCAGTTGGTACTGGTTTGCAAGGATCCTCCAGGAAAAACCACAGTACATCAAGTTGCCAGAGTTCGAATGTTTTGTACCCGAATCGACAGCAACGGTGCCTCTCCATTACATGACCTACGATACCCTCGTATGCGAGATTGACTGCTACCTGGGCTGCAGATGTTATGAATACTACGACGGCTTCACAAAACTGACCTGCGAGGGAGCTGGCCTCGCTGTGATGCCAAGACTTCNTGCCAGAGTTCGAATGTTTTGTACCCGAATCGACAGCAACGGTGCCTCTCCATTACATGACCTACGATACCCTCGTATGCGAGATTGACTGCTACCTGGGCTGCAGATGTTATGAATACTACGACGGCTTCACAAAACTGACCTGCGAGGGAGCTGGCCTCGCTGTGATGCCAAGACTTCATAATACGAAGCACATTAAAATGATGAACAATCACATTGAGAGCTTGAGCCTTCATGACTTTCCAGATACACTTGAGGCGAGTTTTTATTGACCAATGAGGCAATCAACTTAAAAGCACCGCCACCTTTGTCATTACCAATGTCGAAACTTTCTAACAGGATGCTATCTTTAGCACGTTATATACACATTAGTCAGGGCTTCACTAAAACCAACAACATATTGACTTGCGACATCCAAAACGAAAGGCACATTTGAAGATCCCAGAACGTTTGTAGCTAATGTCATAGAATCCGGAAACTAGGGATCGCGCTAACAACGTTTACAGGATTGGTCGGATAACTTTTGAATACAACATCGGCGCCGGCGGTCGGTCGTCTAGCGAGGAGCGACTCCGGCTCGCTGGCAAACTTCCCTGTGTCGTATTTCTTAAACTGCTTGAGGGCGATCCAAATTGTTCTGCCTCTAAAAAACTATGCAGTTAGAAAAATACTATCAAGTCTTTTATATGAACTTCTCAACTATTTTTTTCTGATATTAACCGAATTTAGTTAAAATTGACACTCTCACACCTAATGGCGTTTAAGTTAACGGTTTCGTGACATTTACAAATACTAGATAGTGCTGCTAAATGACGAGTTGTAGGCAGTACTTACAATCAAAACTAAATATTTTTACAGTTCAATAATGTTCTTAAGAAATAATCATGTATCTACCAATAACATCATCGATTTAGTAATCATTCGATTTTTCCAGACGATGGACCTCAGGTACAACCGACTGTCCACAGTTGATGAAGAGGTATTACAGAAAATGTTTGGCTCCAGTAAAGTGGAGTACCATCTAACGGGGAACCCCATCCCGTGTCTGTGCAACAACAGCGCCTTCATCGTCGCTCTGCAGCACCACCAGCACCAGGTTCTCATTAGTGTCCATGGACTTACGAGCTTCCGAACCCCAACGTTAAGTGGTTACGGCCCACAAAAACATGCGAGCTCACGACTCCAGCAATTTAATTAAAAACAATTTTGACGGCTTGATCAAACTCGATTAGGATTTTGTTTATAGGTCAAGGATTACCGAGACCTGTCCTGTATTGGCGGAGGTTCTATCGACCAGGCCAACATGCGGGCGATCTGCTTCTACGAACGTCTGCCGGTGTACGCGGGCGTGGCTGCATCACTCTGTTTTCTGCTCATCTTAATACTGGTAGTGTTGTACTACCGGTACCGGAACGAGATCCTCGTGATCATGTACTCATCGGGCTGGTTTTCGTGCTGCCTGATTGAGGACGAGCTAGACAAGGACAAAAGATACGACGTGTTCATATCGTTCGCTTACGGCGACAGTTCATTCGTGTCGGACACGCTGCTCCCGCGCCTAGAGGGCCCGCCGAACGAGTTCAGCGCGTGCGTGCACTACAGGGACTGGGTGCCCGGCAACTGGGTCCCGGCGCTCATCGCGCACTCGGTGGCGCAGTCGCGGCGAACGATCATCNAGGACGAGCTAGACAAGGACAAAAGATACGACGTGTTCATATCGTTCGCTTACGGCGACAGTTCATTCGTGTCGGACACGCTGCTCCCGCGCCTAGAGGGCCCGCCGAACGAGTTCAGCGCGTGCGTGCACTACAGGGACTGGGTGCCCGGCAACTGGGTCCCGGCGCTCATCGCGCACTCGGTGGCGCAGTCGCGGCGGACGATCATCGTGCTCTCCAAGAACTTCCTGTCGTCAGTGTGGGCGCTGCTGGAGTTCCGGACGGCTCACGTCCAGGCGCTGGAAGATGGCCGAGTTCGGCTCATTGTCATCCTCCTCGATGACGTCACTAACGACGCCAGGATCGACGACGAGCTGAGGGCATATCTCTCCACGAACACGTTCATCAGGTGGGGAGACGCCTTGTTTTGGAACAAGCTCTTATACGCGCTGCCTCACAGGAAGCGCACTGCCAGGCTGCACACAGTGCACAGAGCTGACGGCGAGGAAGTCGTGCAGAGGATGAGAGAAGACGATCCACCGATTGGACTGCGGCAAGATATGCCACTAGAGTTCCTTAGTTTGCCTGATACACCAGCGAATGCTGAATTATAGCACTTTAACTTTGGTCTAACATTAAACAACATTTAATATGAACACAGCCTCTGAATAATTATTGATAAAACTGTCACGGCGAGTGCGGGGCGATAAATATATTTTGAAGGGCTTAAAGCAACTGGTGTTCGTGTCCGACGAACGAGATTGGACCAAAATCACTGACACCTCAAGGCTTAAATTCTTTTCATGAATAATATGCTCTCTTTTATTCTTTTATTTACATAAACAAGCGGGTTACTTAAAAAGGATTGGTAGCATGGATATCATCTTATTACAAATGTTAAAGCAGGAAGACGAGAGCGTCCTCCGACATATGTATATATTTTTGAAATAGAAATAAAGTGTAGTAAAGTACATATAATGTAGAGTATTATTGGGATAGCATTGTAACACAGCTAGCAGCGGTCTGAGTGTCGCGGCTGTTGCGGTGTGGTCCGCGGGCGTGCGGGGTCTCTACATCAGCATTAAGTGCTAACATTAAGCTCGATCGGAATCACTATCTCTCCGCGACGAGACATTGTACTGTAGGGGCTCACGTTCCATCTGATGTTAAGTGACCCAAGTCTCTCATTCAATTTTGTCATGATGTGTAGAAGTTGATGTAGGTAAGTACGTTCCCTATTGGACCCGAAGCGGCTGAACCGATTTCGGTGAAATGTTCAGAGAGGCGAGAGAGAGGAGATTAGTCCAGCTAGGGATCCTGTTTGATAACGATTTTACTAAAACCAAATCAAAGATCGGTCCACAAAGCGGGCCCGGTTTGATTATTTTTAATGAACTTCTGTCCCACCCTTGAAACCGGAATGTATGATTGATTGCTTCGCAACACAAGCGCACCGAACGCTTGTACCTCCAATATTATGCCGTATCTTCAATAATTACGGTACGTAAATATATTTTGGTCTTTGCTTAATTCCATACCTTCTTTATTGTGGCAGATTCAGCAGAAAGATTCTTGAGTGGAGACCACGTACTGGCAAGCGCAGTGTGGGACGGCCACCAAGCAGATGGGCCGACGACCTAATGAACATCGCTGGGTCGCGTTGGATGCAGGTGGCAACGGACTGGCCGCACTGGAGATGGATTAGAGAGGCCTAGCAGTGGACATATACAGACTGACATGATGATGATACCTTCATCTTGGAAGTTGTCCGCAAAGACAGCACGATGCGTATTTCCTTAGAAAAATTGCTACCTGTCTGAGGAACTTGAAGATCGGCATTGTTTTCGGGCTCCGACTTCGGTACCTTATAGCGTAACTAGTCACTGTCTACATATCACTTGGAGAGACATCCTGCTCCTGCCCACGCCCAGTCTGTAACGCCGGACTCCGCGTGCGTCGCACAGCCGTTATAAAAGTCATGAGACCAGTATTTAAATCATTAATTATTTAACAAGTCAATACGTCTACTCGTTTTTACATATAAGTTATAGTACTATAATTTAAATAAAATAATCCTAATACTTTCATGACTACAGCCGTGTTCGTAAAAATAGATTGATTCCAGAAATGTGTAATAAGCTTCGATCAATAATAGTGCTATTGATCGAAGGTAACAAGACTACTAGGGGGGATCAAAAGAGATCATTTAGTGAGAATGAGATAGAATATAATGACTATTGTTAACTTAATAATTTATTTTTCTACATAGTCTCCGAGTCTCTCTACACAGCGAGTCCAGTTCTTTGCCAAGGCCTCAATCCATTTAAAAAAAAAGTTTTGTCTTGGTCCTGCAAAAAGATCTCGACGGCATCCATCACCTCGTTATCGTCTTCGTACCTGTTTCAGTTGTTACTACATTTAGAAAAAAACAAAAGAGAATCGAAATTGTTTTTCTTTATTAATATTGCAAATATGACCAAGGAGTGTGTTGTTCTCACTACTTTTTGATCACTCCTCGTATATAAGAAATGTCTGTGGTTGAGTGGCAGTAGGACACCGCTATCAATGAGACCATACTTCTACAGTTCAAATTAGAACTTTGTCTACTTTTAATTAATAAAAAAATGAAAAACTTTTATTTCAAGACAAAGGTCTCATATTGTGTTAGTATTACAAATAACTTACGAACTATGTTAGTATTTAAATAAATCAATCAACTCCGTCCCTGGCAGCCCCATCAAGCAGCATTTAGAACATGCAACTTGATGAACCTACCCAGGGTCGGGCCATCCAGTCTTTCAGCTAGTACCCTCAAGACGTTGTTGGTGCTTCCTCCTACTCTACGCATAATGGATGCCACCTTTTTGCGCATTATCGCGAAGTAGTCATCCGTGTGCGCATCGGCGAACATGCCTGATGCACTACAATAAGGTGGAAGCCTCAACAACGCCCTNGCCATCCAGTCTTTCAGCTAGTACCCTCAAGACGTTGTTGGTGCTTCCTCCTACTCTACGCATAATGGATGCCACCTTTTTGCGCATTATCGCGAAGTAGTCATCCGTGTGCGCATCGGCGAACATGCCTGATGCACTACAATAAGGTGGAAGCCTCAACAACGCCCTGAAGGCATTATTATATTGTATGCGCAGGGCATTATCAGTGGTTTTTAACTTAAAATGTAAAGGATATACCCCTATTAGTAAATAAAATTAATTAATACTTACTGTTGCATATTTCTCAGCACAAGAACACAATTTTTCAAAACAAATAATAGTTGCACGAACGACTAATTCGCGGGAAGCACTGTTTGAAACTGCCAACGGCTAAATCAACGAACTTGACAATTTTTTGTACCACAGACCAAACAAATTTTATGTAATAAGGCGAACCTATTCATGCTTAGTCGATTTTGAAAGTACTTCAGAACGAGAACTCTAGTAAAATAATGTAATAGCCCTTAATATAGGAAGTCCGCTGAGCGGACGCGGCACTGTTGCCGCCACTGGCCGCGTCTGTTTGAAGTCCTTTGAGCGGACGGGTCACTGTTGATAGATAAATGTGATTTGACACTTCACGTATCTGTGGAGTCCGCTCAGAGGACTCCGAACTGTGGAGAGGTTAAGCGTGTTCACATTTTTCTCAGATACCGTCACAGGAGTAGCCATATTTGATCCGCTCTCGAGCACGAACTAATGGAGGTATCAATAATGTTAGGTGTGCATTTAATATGCAAATTGAACAATCAAACAAATTTATTACATATAATAAAACAATGCGAGACTTGGACACAGTACGGTCGCGCTGACTTACTCCACGCGGACCATAGCACGGCGCAGCGGAGCAGAGATCAGTAGAAATGCGTGAACTGCACGACCACGATGAGGTAGGTGACGCAGATGCTGAGCACGGTCACGGGGAGCGTGCAGTCCAGCGAGAGCACCCGACACGCGCGGAGCCGGAACGGCCGAGCCGAGACGTACCCCGCGAACTGTTTCACTTTGCGACGATCATCTTCCACTGAACAGAAAACTACTCATTACCATCAGTAAACCACCGACTTATTGTAAGGGATCCTATTGTTACGCTTTGGGGTTCGGGGCAAATAAAAATTCTACCGAAGTATAAATTAAGACTGTATTGACACTTAGAACACTCATAAAACACTTTTTTCCCCCCCAGATTTTTTTTAATTCAATGCTTCCGCTTCGCTTCAGGTGATCCGTTCGCTGTTTCGCTTCGAGTAATTCCGATTACTAACAGACTTCTTGCCATCTCTGCAACACTTTTATAGTCGATACGTCATCCCTAGATTTATCGAAAACATTCTGGACAAGTCGGGTAGCTTTGATGTGTTTCCGCTATCTGACAATAGATGGCGTTATACTTCTCGAGTTTTCTCTATGATTCTTGTTCTTTTGATATTCGTTTCGGCTATTCAGTGATAGATGGCGTTTCTCTAACCGGCCTAACACTATCATGGGAATCACTCTACGGAATTATCAGAGGTTGATCTGTGAGGCGATACTGACGTCATTAGACCAGAGTCCATTCCACAACTCTCCCTCATTTTCGAGCGTAGGTACATATTGTTACGCACTGAGGCTTGGCATACATAAAACTTACACCGAAGCATAAATTAAAACTATTAGAAACACACGGAAAACCAAAAATTCTTAATTAACTTCTTCTGCTCTACTTCAGGTAATCCGTTCGCTGTTTTGTTTCGAGTAGATCCGATTACTAATTATTTTCGTGTCATCTCTGCAAGGCTTTTATAGTCGACACGACAACTCTCGACAATTATCGAGAACATTCGAGTCGTTTCGATATGTGTTTCCGCTATTTGATAATAGATGGCGTTACACTTCTCGAGCGCTCTCGATATAACTAGTTCTTCTGATATTCGTTTCTGCTATCTAACGACAGGTGGCGTTACTCTCAGCGGTATAACAATACTATTATGTACCCCTCGTACATATTATTGTTTTATTCTTTGTCACGCTCTACAACCCAGTTGTTGAGAGATTTCAACTATAAACTATGTTTAACTAATAATTATATTTACTTCTAATTAGTAACACACTTCAATTTAAACTTTTCAGATTGGAGACGCAACCTTTCATAAACGCCCCGTAGTATGCGAGTCTCCGTGAGGTGATAGTCAATTAATAACTTCTAGTTTTTGAATGTTAATGACAGATAATATATGTTAAAGTGTGTGCAGCTGAGTACTGTGACCAAATAGCTCTTACGCAGGGAGTCGTCTCTCTGTAGAATGTTGTTGAGAGTGACTTTTATTTTCTGCGCCTCGCTCGCCATCATGTCCGCCGCGAGTACTGGCGCAAATGCAGACGAGAACAGCAGGACAGTTTCCAGATAACGAGGTGCTGTCCTAATAAATTTCATCTGAAATATGTAAACTTTTGTTAAAGATTTATGTTTGATATTTTGTACAGACTTTGGTAACTAGTTCACACCTGCTGCGCGATGAGCTCGTCTTCTCAACTACAAAAAGGACACAATGACAGTGCGCAGGGTGAACACTACCGGCCCTCCACTGTGTTATTGAACGGCATGAGTTTAACTTACAAATAATTTATAGGATCTGAGATTT